TCACACACACCTCTGACCTGCTGAACACCGACAGACACGACTGCACACACACACACACACACTCATTTATATACACAGAAAGAGAGAGAGCTACACACACACACAAAGTGAGTCATATACACTCACAAAGAAAGTGTCTCTCTCACACACACACACACACACACACACACACACACACACACACACACACACACACACACACAGGTCACATTTAAAATTTTAACATTTAAACACACACAGAAAGTCACACACAATCAAAGAAACAAATTACACACATACAGAAACAAAGAGATGCACACAACACAGAATCACACACACACACACACACACAGCAGATTCAGGTGAATTGCTCACCTTGGTCGTCACTTTGTACACCATGTATGCATTCATGCCGTCACCTGTTGAAAACACACACACACACACACACACACGTCTTTACACTGAAGTGAACTTCTTACACAGACTGAAACACACACACACACACACTCTTACAGTGAAGATGTAAGAAGCAGTGTCATAAATGTACAACGGTGTGTAAATCTGATTCTGAGTTTATCAGTTTTCATCCAAACACTCATCATACACACACACTCATCATACACACTCATCATATACACACACACACACACACACTCATCATACACACTCATCATACACACACAGACACACCTGCAGCTCAACATCTGAAAAGACCTATTGATTAGCAGTGGGGATCTCCAACTCACACAAACACACACACACACACACACACACAGCTCACAACACACACTGATCAAACTTGTCATACACACACTTCATAACACTCACCCACTTTCTCCGGGTCCGAGACGGAGATCTGGATGTCGAGTGTGTCTCTGCTCTCCTGCTCATCTTCATCCTGAGGGGGAGAAGGAGAGAGAGAGGGAGAGAGTCTGTGTGAGTGTGCGAGATCTCAGAGTCTGTTTGATGAGTGCACATTTGTATCTCAGTCATACATGTGTGTGTGTGTGTTTGTGTATCTGTGTATATGTGCACATGTGTGCAGTGCATGTGTCTGTAGTGTGTATGTGTACATATGTGTGTATTTGGATGGATGGACGGACGGACAGATGATGAATGGATGGATGGATGGAACGATGGATGGATAGATGGATGAACGGACGGACGGACGGATGGATGGACGGAACGATGGACGGATGGATGGACAGAAAGATGGATGGATGGACAGAACGATGGATGGACGGACGGATGGAATGATGGATGGACGGATGGATGGACGGAACGATGGACAGATGGATGGACAGAACGATGGATGGATGGATGGACGGACAGACAGAACGATGGATGGATGGAACGATGGATGGACGGAACGATGGATAGATAGATGGATGGACGGACAGACGGAACGATGGATGGACAGATGAAACGATGGATGGACGGATGGACGGAACGATGGATGGATGGATGGATGGATGGATGGATGGATGGATGGACGGAACGATGGATGGCTGGATGGATGGACGGAACGATGGATGGCTGGATGGTTGGACGGAACGATGGATGAATGGATGGACGGATGGACGGATGGATGGACGTAACGAGGGATGGATGTATGGATGGATGGATGGACGGAACGATGGATGATAGATGGATGAACGGACGGACGGACGGACGGAACGATGGACAGAACGATGGATGGATGGAAGGATGGATTGATGGAAGGATGGATTGATGGATGGACGGAAGAATGGATGGATGGAACGATGGATGGATGAATAGATGGAACGATGGATGGATGGAACGATGGATGGAACAATGGATGGATAAAACAATGGATGGATGGATGGATGAATGGACGGATGGACGGATAGAACGATGGATGGATGGACGGATGGAACGATGGATGGATGGACGGATGGAACAATGGATGGATGGATGGATAGAACAATGGATGGATGAATGGATGGAACGACAGATGGATGGATGGAACGATGGATGGATAGAACAATGGATGGATGGATGAATAGATGGAACAATGGATGGATGGATGGAAGGATAGAACAATGGATGGAACGATGGGTGGATGGATGGAGTGATGGATGGATAGAACAATGGATGGGTGGATGGATGGAGTGATGGATGGATAGAACAATGGATGGGTGGATGGATGGATGGAACTATGGATGGATAGAACAATGGATGGATGGAACAATGGATGGATAGATGAATGGATGGATGGATGAATGAATGGATGGATGGATGGATGGAACGATGGCTGGATGGATGGATGGATGGAAGGAACGATGGCTGGATGGATGGATGGATGGATGGATGGATGGATGGATGGAAGGAACGATGGCTGGATGGATGGAACGATGGATGGATGGATGGATGGAACGATGGCTGGATGGATGGATGGATGGATGGATGGAACGATGGCTGGATGGATGGATGGATGGATGGAAGGAACGATGGCTGGATGGATGGAACGATGGCTGGATGGAACGATGGATGGATGGATGGATGGATGGATGGATGGATGGATGGATGGATGGATGGATGGAACGATGGATGGATGGATGGATGGATGGATGGATGGAACGATGGCTGGATGGAATGATGGATGGAACAATGGATGGATGGATGGAGCGATGGCTGGATGGATGGATGGATGGATAGAACAATGGATGGAACGATGGACGGATGGATGGATGGATGGATGGATGGAACAATGGATGGATGGATGAAACAATGGATGGATGGATGGATGGATGGAACGATGGCTGGATGGATGGATAGATAGATGGATAGTACAATGGCTGGATGGAACGATGAATGAATGGATGGATGGATGGATGAATGGATGGATGGAACTATGGACGGACGGATGGATGGATGAAACAATGGATGGATGGATGGATGGATGGATGGATGGAAGGAACTATGGACGGATGGATGAACAGATGGATGGAGGGATGGTTGGATGTAGATATACATATATACAGAGGTTGGACAATGTGTTGTAGGTGCTCTGTCTGCATGTGCTCCTCCTGCTGTTCACTCTTCTGGTGTTTTGGAGGAGTGAGTCAGGGCAGGTTTTCCTCCAGCAGCATCAGTAGTGACCTGAACACTATTCTGATGAAGAACAGCTCAGAATCCCTCTGGCCGCTGTGCAGGACTCCTGTCTGTCATTCCCAACACCAGCTGATGCTGGACTGAGGAGGAGCTACACCAGACTGACCAACTACTGCGCTCTAACAGCAGGCCTTTCATTGTCCAACCGCTGTATGTGTGTTTATGACAATGTGTGTTTGTGTGTGTGTTTGTGACCTCCTCAGGTGAGCGGTCGAAGGCCCCCAGCTCTACTCTGCTCCCGATGCTGACGGGTGTGACAGGTGTGATGGCAGGCGATGGGCCGTCAGAGAGGATCGGCTGACGCTCTGGACTGTCCAGAGAAACTTCTTCTGTGGCTTCTGAGGACACAAACAAACACACATGCGCGCACACTCAAACACAAATAAATATTTCACACATACATTACAGCTCCATATCATTAAAGTTCCACATTTTAATTTTGGAATTTATTTTTAATCTATTTAAATGAAACAAAAAAATAACAATAAAACAACAAACAAATACTCGTCAATATTTATCATATATTTTCATTATTATTATTATCAGATGAAAGGTTTATTCTACTCAGTTGAGCTCAAATCTTTTTAAAATGTGGCATTTCCGTTATGCAATCCTCCAAAAACAGGTGGATGGAAACACAGCTCCTGATAAATTCAAGGAGTCAGAGTGAGTTATTCCTCCGACACCACAGCTAAAGTGTGCAGTCCAGTTATTCTGCATTATTTCTGAAAACAAGACTACACGTTTTGCTCGTCTACAAAATGCTTCTTGGTTTCGGAGTTTGTGGATACTAGCCGTGTTTCCACTATTGTGCCTGAAGCAAGCGTGCCAGGGCCAGTTGCGTTTCCACTGTCACTTCCGGAGCCTGATCAGGCCAAAGCGGGGCTTCCTCGGGGCCAGCGGTTGGCCTTTTTCAGTCTGTCGAATACCTTGGGCCAAAGAGGGCCAGCTGGGGCTTGGGGGTGGAGTGAAAAGAAAAGGCGGACTTTATGTGTAAATCTGATAAAGATCTATCTTTATCCGAGTCTGGTAAAGATGGGTGATGTGGAGCTGCACAATTAATCTCGATTCAACCCGCAAGACGATCTTAATCCAGCCTTTCTACGATTCTGTCAACCCTATTTTCAAGTAAAGGCGGCTACACGAGTGATTTCATTGTTTCACAAACGTTGCTCAGTGACACTGACACCTCCAAATGATGTTGAATGAGTCACATACTGTATTCATAAGCTATAATTCACCTAAAAATGTCATTTTTGTCTAAATATAATGATGTTTTCGCGATCGGGAAATCGCACATGACGAGCTGCTGACCGTGAGCTGTTATCACAGAGAGGGCGCGCGCGCGTCTACTTTAGTGAACAGGACCTGCATATGTTGCAAGTAACAGGTAATACAGCTGTAAATAATATTCAGTTTGTGGCACAGAGTGATCGTTTGGGAGCCGCTCGCGAAGTATGAACAAGCACTTATCAGTGAAAATGAAACCGAAAGTGTGCACTTCATTTAAATGATCATATCGCATTTTAGAGTTATGATTACGGCAAGCATTTGATCTGTGTTTTCTTTCATAGTGAACCCACAGTTGTGCATGAAAATAAATGCTTACAGTGTCAGTATAACTACTCAAGCCTATATATTGCTGAATATAATCTGATAACGGCAAATGTCTGATTTTACCAGTGAATAAATTTCTTTAATATGACAGATTGCAAGCATATCTCAAACATCATAATTCAACTTCAGAATTATTATAAGTAGAATAGAATTATTTATAGAAACCAGTAGACTGACACATAATATTATTATCGAGGTTGTGCCATATGTTTGTTTTTACCATAGCTTTATTTTACATCTACAGAATCATGAGAGAATTGTGATCTTTATTTTGAGCAAAAATAAAATAAATAAAAAAAATCGCGATTCTCATTTTAGCCAGAATTGTGCAGCTCTAGCATGATGCCATTACACTAGTTTTCCAATCGCGCACAAGTACATGCGGCAAAACAAACAAATAAATAAATAAGGGAAAGAAAACAGATAGCTGGTCAGTTTAGGATATTCCATAAACATCTTATAGGCCAGGGGTCTTTTCTGCTTATGATCGCCCTTATGTTTTGCTTTTAAATGTAAGACTGTTGCAGAAAATAATAAAGAAGTTTTCATTTATAAGTGACATTTCTTTGCTGCGTCCTCCTCGATGTTTCAGTAACGCATAATAATCTTCCACCATATTAACAACACAGCGGAGCAGCCAGTAACAGCTGTTGAGAGTGTTTGTCAAGTTTAAATGGTGTGTTTGTGCATGAAACATGCACGTTTATATGCATGTGCGTGTGTGAGACCAGGCGAAATAGCGCTCGCTTGATGTTGTGAGCGGCTGGGTTTCTTTCTTTCTTTATTTTGGAGATAATACAAAATATGAACACAACTGAAAGACATAAAACTCTACAAATGACGTGTCCACTTCTGTATGCTCAACACAATAGTGTCATATCTAGATTATATAGCCTGAGCTATATTAAATTCATTTAAAGAGTTACAAATATCAGATATAATAAAATCACATTAAATAAATAAACCAGTGTAAAACAAACACAAGCTAGAGCACTGTGGGTATATGCACTCTCAGAAATAAAGGTATGTGAGCTGTCACTGGGGTGGCACCTTTTCAAAAGGTACACATTTGTACTTAAAGAGTCCATATTGGAACCTCAAAAATATATATCAGTACCTACAAATTTTAGGAGGAACACTTTTGTACTTTTTACATACTAATATGTACCATTGAGGTATTAATATAGACCTTTTAGGTACAAATGTGTACCTTTTGAAAAGGCAGCACCCCAGTGACAGCTCACATGCCTTTATTTCTGAGAGTGCACAATACATAAATTAAACTGTTTTAAGACATTTTAAACAAAAGACCTCTGAAAAAAAAGGTTTTAGATATCTAATAAAAACAAACAACAGAGGAGTTTAGATATATTATTGATAAAGTATTTGGAGATGATGATGATGATATTAATCAAATCCTGCAAGCAGAGCATCAGAAAGCTCCTTCTGTTGTGTCATCAGTCCTGCAGCGCTGCTTTACAAACGCACTGGGGAAAACTGCACACAAACATGCGTTCTGTGTCCTCAAACAAGTGTTTCTGTGTTTATATGAGGTGGTCAAATTGAACACTGAAATGTTAAATGTAGAGCTTTATTAGTGGATATCTGCTAGGAGCAGTGATGTATAGCCTGTATTTCATTACCTGCTGTAATGTCCTGAAACACGTTCCTTTACTTAAGATCACTGAATAATCTGCAGCATGCTTACATTATTCTCTTAATAATGGGGAATCAGCTGTTCAGTGTCATTTAGCCTAGAGAATATGAATCTGTTCAGGTCTCTCTGGAGCATTTGGGCTGAATATTTGACAGTGTCTATCTAATCGAAGATGTTATATGAGCAAAATCATACGAGTAGCAGTGTGCTATGGTTGTATATCAGCACTGGTGGGAGGCGTGTGTTGGCACGAGGCCGCAGGTGTATAAACACAAAATCACACTGCTACTCATGTGATATTGCGTTTATACAACAGTTCGACAGCACAATCTTGAATATAAAAAAGAAAATCAAACACAGAGAGTCTAAAACCGTTTTGTATGAGGAACTACTTTCTTCCGCCATTGATTCACATCTGCAGCTGACGTCAGAACAGCAGAAGCCGTTACTCATTCACCAACATCACTTTAGAGCTGGTGTTTGAAAGATTCTCTATAGCCAACACAATCTCACGGCAATTCGTAACTTTTTCATTTAGTGGCTAATTCGTATGAATTCGTACGATCTAATTCGTACAATTTAGTACGATTTGCTTATCCCCCAATGACGGTTGGGGTTAGGGGTGGGGTCAGGTGCCACGCCTCCTTTTTAAAATCGTACCATTTCGTACGACTGAACTCGTACGAATTCATACGAATTAGCCACTAAACTGGCAAAACGTAAAATACTTACGTTTTCTTGTGAGATCAGGCTGCTATAGCGTAATGTGAAGCAGCGCTTCTGGGGCCTCATGTATCAACGCTGTGTACGCACAAAAACTTTGCGTACGCCAGGTTTCACGCTCAGAATCGCTCACGTTTGGATTTACTAACAATGAACTGAACGTGGGAATGTGCGCAGCTTCACGGCAGCTTTATGGCTGGCATACGCACATTTTTTGTGCGTGTCTGTTTTATTTCTATTGGCGACTCCTAGAGGCAGTTGTGTTAAATTCCTCTCTACAAAGTGTCTGAGCCTTGCAATGGCAGCTGTATGAGACGGGTTCAGCAGGTATATAAGGTTTCCATACCATACAGTTGACCAGCTAAACATTAAAGCACAATTTGCAGCGGTCGCCTGTTTTCCCAATGTAATCTGAGCAATCTACCGCACACACATTGCTATAAAAGACACTATCTGAAGATGAATTTGCATGCGTGAATCAGAAACATTCAATAAATGTGCAAATAAAATATGATGCTTATTGATATGAACTTATTGATGATTCCTACTTGTCTTTCTCGTGATAAATAGTGGCAAAATCTGATATGTAGCGGGGGAAAAAACAAGAAAGAGTTCATCAGACGCTGGATTCGAGCCGAGCTTATGCTCGAACGTATCAATTCATGATCACATGCGTCTTACGAGTAACGCCACTGAGACTGTTAAGCGTCCTGCAACATTTTACAGATATAAATCACACTATTTCTTTTTTTTAATGCACTCAGTGCGATGTTCAGACCCAACTGTGTTGACCGCATCAGCTAAACTCTCCCACTCTATTTTTTTCTTTTTTTGTTAATTCTGGAGAACAAACTTGCAAATAACACCGCTTTTCTCCGGTCTACCTCCGAAAGCAGCACCTCCAATTCACATTCTGTTCAAAGTTTCTCTTTTTGCTTGATTTTGACATTGCTTTTTCATTGGGTTTTTGCCATTAGCATAGTCATTAGCATATTCATACGGGGGAGGAGGCAGGGAGGGGTTTTGTGCTCGTGCATGTTGCGCTCAGTTTCACGTTCATTCAGATGTACAAAAGAATATGCGTGAGATTCGGCGTACGCAGTGTTTCATACATCTGAAACTTTTTCTGCGTACGCACATTTACAGCTTTGAGCGTACGCAATGTTTTAGTAAGATTTCCACGCAAGTCTTCGTACATGAGGCCCCAGGTGTGTGACCTACTTAAGGTGATGACAAAACAGCTGATTTTGCTCACATTTTAAGATTATAAGGCTGAACGTGACATGAAATGCCATCAGTCTACATAGATTTCTCACCAGACTGCTGTTGTGTTTGCGATAAGAAGGGACAAGGCTGAATCCAGCTTCTTATACGCTGCTTCTTATTGACTATCTGGTCCACCTTAAAAACCACGAGGCTTTCGTTTTTCAGCTTTTATCCGTGCTCAGAACACACTGAGCAAGGGCTTATTATGCGGTTCTGGCGTCATCTTTTGGATAGACAACATCATCTGCCGTAAATGAGCTTTCTCAGAAATTGTAAATATTTTAAAATAGGCAATATTCTTACAAATAAACTGCACAGTTGCAATCTAAACAACGACATTCTCCACTAAAAAAGCCTCAAAAGTACATTTTGCTGTCGAACAGCAGTAATATTTGTCAAACTGTAGCCTGCTTGTTGCTTGCTGTATGTGGGCGGAGTAATACACAGAGGTGAAGAGGCCTTGTGTGATGTTACTGGCAAAATATTGCACGGCTATCAGCCAATCAGATTCAAGAACCAGACAGAACTTTTGTATAAAATAATGTATTATATAGCGAGTTATTAGCGGAGCATTTGTGTGGTGTTATATTATGGATGGTGCGCTGGGTCCTTCCGCTAGTGGCGAGAGCACTCGATTCCAACAGTGGGTCGGCGAGTAAAGGAATATACTGAATGAAGCACTCAGGCCTGTGCGTATACACATACACTGTGCTGCTGTACAGTAGCGGCTCATCTGTGTGTGTCGGTTGTCTTCAGTTTAATAGTGGTGATGATGTGATGGTGTGCTTCATCTGCTGATTGAGTGGGCGGGGTGTGTGACGGTTGATTTGGGGATGTTCTTGTGGGGTTTGCCTGACAGTGGAAACGCCACATGATTCCAGCCACACTGCTCATGCTCCCAGGCTATCGTCCTGATAGAATCCCTGCTCACACTGGCCCCACAGTGGAAATGCTACTGATCACTATATACTGAGGGTTCTCCGAGGGAGGGGCTTGGTGCAGACGTGTGTATATGACAGTATCTGCAGCTTCATTATGAACACTTTGGCATCAACAAGCTCTTTGTTTTCAGAAATAATGAGGTCAAATGAAGAGAGTTTTACTCATTTACACTTTGACGTAAGATTATTCTGCTCACCCCATCAGCAGATCACTCTGCTTGTTTTAATGAGAAGCTCTCTTCATTTTGACTCAATACTTCTGAACACAACACTACATGTTCTCCTTGTCCAGAAAAAGCTTGTTGATTTGAGAGTGTGTGGATATTGGGTGTAGAAACAGGCAGACGCTCTGGGTCGGGTCAGCATGTGTTGTGTGAACTGACCGGCGAACAGGTCCTCGGTGTCGTCGTCCAGCAGGATCTGCTCTGCTTTGGGGCCGTTTGATCCAGTGCTGGCCACTTCTGAGGGAACATGGAGATCTTCTGGAGACTGAAAACACACACACACACACACACACCGTTCACACACTCATTCTGCAGCACAGATGAATCAGACACTGCACAAACACTCATCAGTTGTGATTATACTAATAATAAAGGAATAATATTCAGCTTATAGGACTCCTGAAACTAGACTCCCGCTGTTTAGTCAGCAAGACTGATGTGCAGGAAACCAGACACACACACACACTCACACACACACACACTCGTTAAAGTTAATCTTTAAACACACACTCCTGTGTAAAGGTGTGTGTCACAGGATGAACATATGACCTGCTGAACAGGAAGTGTGTGTGAGGGGCTCTGAGGCTCTTCCTGCTGTTCAAGGTGTGTGTGTGTGTGTGTGTGTGTGTGTGTGTGTGTGTGTGTGTGTGTGTGTGTGTGTGTAATGTGCTGATCGGTGGAGATGAGGAGAGCAGCGTCACATGAGCTCATCTGACTGACAACAGCACACACACACACACATAACAGGACATCCATTACACACACACAAACACACACAAAAGGACATGCTTTACACATACATGCACAGTTGCGCACACACACACACACACTCTCACACAAACAGATATGATTTATACACACACACACACACACACACACACAAACTCACACAACAGGACATGCATTACTTATACACACACACACACAACTGAACTGGCATTACACACATACACAACATGACCTGCTTAATACACACTCACACAGCAGGAAATGTTATGAACACACACTCTATAAAACCCAAAAAACAACACGCACACTCGTGCACACAAACACTACTAGCACACACACACACACACAAAATCAAAAGAACACGCTTTGCTTTGCTTTACTTTACACACACACACACACACACATCACAGGACACACTTTATGCACGCACGCACACACACACACACACACACACACACACACACACAACAGGATACACACACACACTAACTCACAAAAGTACATGCATTACACACACACACACACACAACAGGATATGATTTATACACACACAGACAACAGTAAATGCTATAAACAAACACAGTCTCTCACAACTAACACACGCTATAAACATACAAACGCCAATGCACACACACTCAAATACATACTCACATGTGCACACATACAGTAAACACTACTCACACTCACACTCACACACACACACACACACACACACACACACACACACACACACACACACACACCTGTGGATCTGTTCAGTTCAGCTAAGGCAGTGTGTGCATGAAAACAAGCGGCTAAATGAAGGAAAAACACTGAAATGAGGATGTTCACACTCTAGTTTGCAGATTTTGGTCTATTTAGCTTCAGCTTTATGCTGTCGGACATCAGAAATGCATTAATAAGTGTTTATTCTATTGCTCATTGCGTCTGTAGAGATTAATTCCAATAAACATGCATCTACACACTGTTTGTTCATATATGGCAGCATCCAGCTGACGTAACACAACAGAAATATGGTGAAAATATAACACTTTTACTTAACAATATTGTCCATTTTATGGACTAGAATGAAAAGAAACCCAAAATCATACATCTAAACCTTCACAAAATCAAACTATGATCAGTATGCAAATATATGCAGATTAGCTCATGTTTAGTGATGTGCACATTTGCATTTTCAGATTTCAGAAAGCGTGTGATGTTAAGCAATGGCCTCAATGTACTGTGAGATGGGGGTGTAACAGATCACGGCTGATCTGTGATTCATACGGATCACAACTGTTTGGAACACACGTGACCTGTGGATTAATAAACACTTTTCACTGGTAGATTAATCCTAAATTTGCAACGATCGCAGAACCATCGCCTCTCGCATCATTCAAATCACAAGTATAAAAGCATTTAGGCTTAAAATATAATGATGACGGAGGAAGTTGTGGTGGGTTATTGGGGACGTGGTGGGTTTCATTAAAGGTGTTTTCTGTCACTGCTTGTTTAGCCTGCATTAATGCATTCAGTGTAGGCTGCACCAGTAATCATTACAAGATCAGGATCTCAACACCCACGCAACTTAAATTATAAATGATGGTGATTTGCACATGTTTATTACAGACATTCCGTTTTTAGTATTTTGAGTTACTTATGAAGTTAGAAACAGTCAAATAACACTGAGGATTAAGAGATTTAATATATTGTCATCTGCTTAAAAGTTAAAGCTGTAGTCAACAACTGTATTATTTAACCAGTATGTGGTGGGAACCATTAATTCATTTATTCATCTTCTTATCAGCTTAGTCCCTTTATTAATCCAGGGTCACCACAGCAGAATGAACCGCCAACTTATCCAGTACATTTTTACGCAGCGGATGCCCTTCCAGCCGCAACCCATCTCTGGGAAACATCCACACACACTCACTCACAATGGACAATTTAGCCTACCCAATTCCCCTATAGCGAATGTGTTTGGACTGGAAACCGGAGCACCCGGAGGAAACCCATGCAAACGCAGAGAGAACATGCAAACTCCACACAGAAATGACAAATAACCCAGCCGAGGCTCGAACTAGCAACCTTCTTGCTGTAAGGCAACAGCCCTACCTACTGCGCCACTGCGTCTTAAAAATCAGCCACTGAATAATTCTTCAGAAATGATCGTCTAGCAATGAAGCTTAATGAGTGAATAACTGAATCATTTATATGAATAAATATGGGTTGTACTATAATGATGTTAGATTTCTACATTTAGCATTATCAGCAACAATAGTCGTAACAGCGAGTCTTTCACAGTATTGAATACTTTACAGTGTTTTTTTTATTTTAGTATTGAATATTTTACAGTTTATTCTTATTCAGCTGATTATTTCTGCATTTTATTTTTAATTAAATTACAGGTTACAAGTTCTGTTTGAAAACCAAAGGTTTCTTGCAGTGCTGTTTCTGTAATAGACCCTTTACACATTTCCAGGTTTCTCAGTAGCAGAGGGCATCATGGCAAACTCAGAGTGCAGTGAATGGGAGAAAACAACAGATCATTTTTTACAATCTTATTTGCTGAAATAATCAAAGAAAAATGTCATGATGGTGTTATCAAGACTTTCAGAAGGAGGAAAAAAAATGTGTGAGACTGAAAACGGCAGCCAGAGGAGAGAACAACGTCAGATTTACTCTATACGCTGCATTAGAAACACCTCGCACAAGCGGTCATTCGTTTTGTTTTTTTTGTTTTTTGTAATTTGACGCGATGATATACTACATGCATAAATGCATTTAAATGTTTATACTTTTTTAAAATCAAAATATTAAAAACTTTCACGGATTTAAGATTATGATGACATAACAGGCTTAAGGCTGATTTATACTTCTGCGTCAAACGCACGCGTATGCTACGGCGCAGCCACTGACGTGCACCTCTAAAAAAATTTAACTACACGTCACAACGAAGTTTAGCGCAAGCTCTGTGATTGGTCGGCTTGGTAGCGCTGACGAGTCTGGGTGGGGCCGAGAGCCACACCCAATGTAGCGATTGTTTACAAGTGTGGAGTCCCGTGAAGGAGCGCCGGATGGAAAGTTTTGTTTTGTGTTTACCTCATAGTTAAAGTTGTTGCACGTCCGCCGGTTCCTGCCTCAAAATGAGCGAGTTTGAGCCACTTGTACATCCAGGAAGTGTTCAGAAAATAAACAAAACAGCAGTGAAGAAACTCGACACAGAGGAACATTTACACCTCACTGCCAACTAGCGTTTCAGAAGTGTTAATGCAGACCAACAGAGACAGCAGTAGAAGTATAAATGCACAGCTACGTGCGTTGCATGCGCCGTGGGTTACACCGGTCACATGACGCAGAAGTATAAACCGGGCTTAATACAAAGGGTCCATAAATGGAACGGAAATGACATTTATCTCCTCCCCTTTTTGGTTGATCCGAAAAATGGTGCAATCCGTCACTAAAAAGCCATAATGTAATCTGAACGATTAGATTTGTGATCCGTTACACCACTATTGTGAGGAATAAAGTGCCTGAATATTTATATTCTTAATCAAATATTAGATTTTTTTTTCTCTGCTCATCCTGAGGGTGTTTAGAGTCAAACACGTGACTGAACACATGACCAGACTAACGTTACACTTACTGCGCTATTCAGTATTGCAGCCATTCTGTCGCTAGTCTTCCTCTTGGTTTTGCTTGTTAATGTTATTAATTATCTTAATTTGTTTCATTGAGGCTAAGTTAGTTTTATTATCACACATTCGGACTTAATTATAACATTTCAATAAGTATTCCTTAGTGCAAACTCTAGGTAGTGAATCATATTATCAGGCAGTGTCTATCAAAGCACAGCACTGCTCTGTCAATGATTATAATAGGTTTTATTCAATTAAAACGTTGTTTTGAAGTCGATTTTAGACCTAATATTCATAGTAGCGTGATAAACAATATAGAGATCGTGTCTCGAGTAGTCACTGAACGAATGTGAGAATAAAAAGCCAACTTTACCTCAATAATAGTTTCATAAACGTGTGTGATGTTGACCTGACAGCGATATTCTACATTTGTTTACTGAATGAATGAGGAGTTTCTGCGCTGATGCTGCGCGGTGTTGATGTGCCACAGCAGCCTGCGCATGCGCTCTCCGCATCTTCTCTACACTCCAGAAATTGAATGAAATCTGTCAGAATTGTGTGACATAAATGACTGACGTTTGACTGATTATGAATATCAACGTGTGTCTGTGTTCTCCGAGCAGGAGGAGCGCGTGTCGGTCAGCAGTTTCAGCTCACCTCCATCACGCTGACGAACAGCTCCTCCGCGGCCTCAGAGTCCTCCTGCTCCGCGTTTTGCTGCCCGGTCACCGGTGGAGGCTCTCGGTCCTCCGACATCTTCAACAACAGCAGATGAATAAAGTCTCAGGCGGAGAAACAGACAGAGATCAAGATTATCATGTGACTGAGTCTCATGACAGAAGCGCTTCATGCGGCTCACGCTCCGCCCTCACTGCGCAGACTCATCACTGCCCGCAGAACACAACGGTTTCTGCTGAAAGGGATACAGCTGCGGCCGGAAGTTAACGAGAATTATTTATATACTATATTTATTAAATACCCATTGGTTGTATTTCATTAACGTAAAGTCGTACCCTAACCCTTAACCCAACAATCCCAGTAATGTAAAAACAGTAATTATACCGAGTAATATTCATATTGCTTATTAAAATACCTATTACATTGTATTTAATAAGCGCCTGTCCCCACCCAACCCTCATATTAATGTAAAAATCCTAACTATTGTTGTACAGAGCCACAAACATGCTATCTTGATGAGAGTATCCGCAGCTGTATTCCACAGTGACGCGCAGCCACAGAACGTCTGGTCACATTGTTTATTCATTATTGGTGCTTTACCCACTCCACTTTATCAGGTACACCTGACTAGTACCGGGTTGTTCCCCCTTTTGCCTTCAGAATTTATTTAATCCTTCATGTCAGAGATTCAACAAGCTACTGGAAATATTCCTCAGAGATTTTGCTCCATGTTGTCATGATAGCATCACACAGTTGCTGCAGATTTGTCGGCTGCACATCCATGATGCCAATCTCCCGTTCCACCACATCCCAAAGCTGCTCTATTGGATTGAGCTCTGGTGACTGTGGAGGCCATTTGAGTACAGTGAACTCATCGTCATGTTCAAGACACCAGTCTGAGATGATTGAGCTTTATGACATGCTGCGTTATCCTGCTGGAAGTAGCATCAGAAGATGGAGACACTGTGCTCATAAAGGGATGGACATGGTCAGCAGCAATACTCAGGTAGGCTGTGGCGTTGATGCTCAATTGGTACTAATGGACCCAAAGAAAATCTCCCCCACACCATTACACCACCACCACCTGCCTGAACCGCTGATACAAGGCAGGATGATCCATGCTTTCATGTTGTTGAGCCGAGCATCTGAATGTGTCAGCAGAAATGGAGACTCATCAGAGCAGCAACGTTTCTCCAATCTTCTATTGTCCAGTTTTGGTGAGTCTGTGTGAATTGTAGCCTCAGTTTCCTGTTCTTAGCTGACAGGAGCGGCACCCGGTGTAATTGGCTAATTAGAAATTTGTGCTAACAAGCAGTTGGACAGGTGTACCTTATATAGTTGCCGATGATAACTCTGTTGTGCCTATTGGATCCTTTTTTTGCACGCTTGTCCTCCCTCCCGTCTCCTTGGATGGCCGCACTCACATTGCATTCGGGCCTGGGCACGTTTGCGTCATCAATGCTCAGTAAAGAAGCACTTTCGCTCAGCACAGTGGACATTTCTTTAGTTATATGGGTTTAGTGGTTTGGCATGCAGTGACACGCAGTCAAATATTTCGCAGAACAGATCCGCCACTTTTGACGCTCATAAACAATCATAAAGTCCTCGTGCTGCAGGAATGAGGAGGTTTGCTGAAGCTGCAGCTGTTGTGCAGTGAGGGGTTTGTGTCTTTACATTTACATTTAGTCATTTAGCAGATGCTTTTATCCAAAGCGACTTACAAAAGAGGACAAGGAAGCAATTTACACAACTAAGAGCAACAGTGAAGAAGTGCTGTGGGCGAGTTTCAGGTCTGTAAAGTATAAGAAGCAAAACATTAGTATTTTTTTTCTGTAGTACAGTTAGCGGTGGAGCCAGAGAGACAATTGCAGATTAGGAAGTGTAGTGGAGACAAAATAGTTGAGTTTTTAGTGGTTTCTTGAAGACAGCGAGTGACTCTGCCGTTCTGATGCAGTTAGGGAGTTCATTCCACCAACTGGGCAGATTGAGCGTGAGCGTTCGGGAAAGTGATTTCTTCCCTCTTTGGGATGGAACCACGAGGCGACGTTCATTCACAGAACGCAAGTTTCTGGAGGGCACATACATCTGCAGAAGTGAGAGCAGATAAGAAGGAGCAAAGCCAGAAGTCGCTTTGTAAGCAAACATCAGAGCTTTGAATTTGATGCGAGCAGCAACTGGCAGCCAGTGCAAACGGATGAGCAGCGGAGTGACATGTGCTCTTTTAGCTTCATTAAAGACCACTCGTGCTGCTGCGTTCTGGAAGCCCGGCTAGTAGAGAGTTGCAATAGTCCAGTCTGGAGAGAACAAGAGCTTGAACAAGGAGTTGAGCTGCATGTTCAGATAGGAAGGGTCGAACCTTTCTGATGTTATAGAGTGCGAATCTGCAAGATCGAGCAGTTCTAGAGATGTGGTCAGAGAAGTTTAGTTGGTCATCAATCGTTACTCCAAGGCTTTTCACCGTTTTGGATGCAGTAATGGTTGCCCCATCCATCTGGATTGAAAAGTTATGGTGTAGAGTCGGGTTGGCAGAAACTTCCAGCATTTCACAACAATCTACAACAGTTTGCGTTTATTGAACAGTTAGAATGATTATTATCAAACAGTCCCTGAAAAGTCATGTCTCGTCTTCAGTTTTGCGCTCACACTCCACCCCTTAACTGCAGTCTGCAGACAGACCCTTAATTCAGCTGGATTAGGTCATTATACTGAAATAAAAGTCTGCAGCAACTTGTATTTCTCTGAGTATTTGACTGTTTTGAGAATGTTACGTATGATTGCAATAACATCCACTAACATCCAACTAAAATGTTTGAGAAATGCATTCCTGACTAGCGTATGAATAACCTCCTGCACCGGTGTGTTTTGAGAACATTATTAAAGACGAGATCACTCTGATAATAAACAGATCTGTGTGTGTGTGTGTGTGTGTGTGTGTGTGTGTGTGTGTGTGTGTGTGTTCATGCGGGAGCTTCTCCAGAACATTCCCTGATCATGACAGAAACTTTTAAAGCAAACTTTCGGACAGAATGATGTGTGGAGTGTGAGATATTTCCAGCGCAGTATTCTGCTGTCAGTCTGAAGCGCGGTGTGTAAAACCAACAAACCCGTCTGAGCATCAGCACGGCCTCGGCAGCTCAGTTTTAGTGTTTTCCTGTGGAAATGACTCTTTTTATAAGACAGATGAAGCTCCAGCTCGGTAAAGTCCAGTCTGTCAGAGCAGAAACTCAGACTCTCATCCGTCTGAGCTCCAGGGACGGTTTAACTGCAAAACAAGCGCTTTACAAACAACCTGCGGCGGCACTGGAGCGTGACGGATGCTGCATGTGTGTAATGAGGCACTCCTACAGCAGATCAGGTGCAGAGGATGGTGGCCGACACAACTCAACATGCTGCAACTCAGGCCATGTCTACACACACACACACACACACACACACACACAGGTATTTCTACATTTATTTATTTATTTTTAAATCTCTGTCCACATGAGCACGCATAAACACACGGTAAGGCATTTTAAGAGCACGTCAACCCAACAGGGGGCGATCATGCCTGGACTTTTATGCTGGATTCACACCAAACGGGGAATTAAAGGCGCAATAGGGGATCTGCCTAAATGCTATGCATCAGCATAATAGACGAATTACCAGTTTGTAAACATTCAGAATGCACGCGCAGCGGGGTTGCAGAAAAAAAAAACGGAAGTGCTAACATTTACACCGAGGGAATGACATCTGATGCGGTACAGAGTTTGTCGTTGTATTTGAGACAATACATATATACATTATATTGATGACACATTATTTATACATATATATATTATCTACATAATGCTTTCAGCGTATTATAACCGCTCGTCACCCAGAGATAAACACAGTTATTCAGCTAAATTAACGTTAAAGTGAGCGGCGTTCATCTGACAGCTCCATTTGCGATAGATAGCACCATCCCAAAGGAGAACTGCAGAGTCCAGCATTATTAATTAGGTCCTAATAAACAGTCACATTCGGACGGCTTTTTAATCTATTTTATTTGCTTTTAACATCTTCAAACTAATACGACTGTTGATCAGCGCCACCTCCTGGACTGATCATTAAAAATGGGATCTAATGGGATGGAAAACGACTACTGTGAGGCATTTTCCCCTCGTTGTCAGACGGCATCTGGTGCTGTTTAAATGACGCCTCGTCATCGCTAAAGTCAACATTTTCTCTTTCTTTTAAATATATAACCAGCCCAAACGAATGTAGTTCACCATAATGTTTGACACACACATGTAGCCTACTGTACTGTCCCACTGACATTAACATAAGCGGCTCACGATTAGAGTCAACATGCAAATCAGCAGCAGAGTATCAGTCACGCACTTTTATTGGTCATTTTCGTAAATTGCATGACTTACATGCCTGTTAAGTTTCATGCCAGTAATCTGGTTTGCTCTATGATGCAGTGAAGTATTGCGTGTGTGTGTGTGAGTGTGTGTGCGCGCGGGCATTGAAGAGCCGCTGAGCTAACAGCTGACCAAGGTTATAATAGTTTTGGATTTTTCATTAGTTTTAGTTTCTATTTCGTTTTGACTTTTTGTTTTCAAATTCAGTCAGTTTTAATTAGTTTAAGAGGCAAATATACTAGTTTTTATTAGTTCCTATATTGTGAAATGACTTTAGTTTTAGTTTAGTCTTTATTAGTTTCAGTATTAGTTTTAGTTTATTTTTCTAAATAAGGATATTTGTTAGGTGCAAGATTCAAAGTCAATGGAATAAATATTGTATAATAAAAACTCAGACATACATGTTTTCATACCTGTATTTAGAGGATACATGTGTAACCCCCACTAATCATCTTCCAACCCGCTCCAAGCTGGGATCAAACCGGCAACCTTCCGCATGGAAGTCGGTTGCTCTAACAAGGAGGCTAAAGACCATAGCCTCTAGCTTATGTCGCTAGAGCACGTTTTAGAGGTGAGAGGAGTGAGAGTAGCCTTCAGTGCAATATGTGTGCAAGGCTGCTCTGAGGGTAAATATACAGTAGTGATGGGAAGTTCAGATCTTTAATGCGGATGTTTGGACTCAACATACCAACATTGTGTAGTCTGCAATAGTCATAGTCAATAGTCAGTCAGTTAAAACATCACCATGATCTG